TGCTGCCCTTTATAAAGCCTAGTATAAGCAGAGGGAGTCCAGCTTCCTTCGGCCCCAATGATCCTATAGTGCTAAGGGCACCTATGCTTCCTCCAGCTCAGGTTGCCTATACAATTTCAAAGTGCTTCAGGGCTCCCTTAGCACTGGTGACTCCTGCAGCCATTCTGGCTCCCCAGCTGGAATCCCTGAACCATCTTCCTCCTGGTCCCACGATTACCACCCACTGGCGCTATTGTGAGCACAGCCTTTCCCTACATGTGCATTGGTGCAAGTTTATTTAAACTGGTGCAATGCCCTGTGTGGACATTCTGCTTTAGTTTTAGGAGTGACTTTTTTTGCTTTAATTTAATCCTGTTTCTAATTGATTTAAACAAAAATGAAAGAAGCCTGGATTAAACTGAAATAGGAATGGATACTTTTGCACCAGTTTCATGAAATTGGTTTAAAATCACAGTTAGTTTAACAATTCAGCGTGTCCTTAGCAGAGTTCTGGCAATTTGAGTACCCTAGCTGCAGTGTTATGCTTGGCTTTCTTTTTAGTTTGCCCTCAACTCTGCATTTCCTGGGTTTCTAACACTCAGTAAGTGGTATCTGCAAAGTTCTTAAGTTTTTTAGCCTTAAATTATTGATATGTGTGTTCAGCCCTATCTCCAGCTTAGCCAAGCTGTTTAGTGGAAATACATATGAATTCTACCTACTTGCTTTCTTTTTCTTTAATGGGCAAGTACCTCACTTTTTAATATTTTTCAAGATCATCATGGTATGGGTCAATAGAGTTTTTCCAAGAGCTGGTAAATTTGCATGACAACTTTACAATCACTCTCAACCAACCCCATGCACTGACATCAGACACATGCATTCTGACAGAGACTGGTGCCTGGATCCATACAAAGTTGTGTTAGTTAAGAAATACGGACTGGAGGAGCTGGCTGAATGGTGCAGACAGTGGAGGAAAGCCAATTTAGAGAGAAGGGAATGGGGAGGGGTGGTTGTGACAATGGCTAAGATCTTGAGAAGACAGTGTTATGAAGGCATAGGAAGTTACCTACCAAAGTAACCTTTGTTTTCCAAATACATCATCTCTGCAGATCCACAGTGACCCTCCTTCCACAATACTTTGAAGGCTTAAGGCAGGGGTTCTCAAACTGGGGGTTGGGACCCCTCAGGGTGTTGCGAGGTTATTACATGGGGGGTCGCGAGCTGTCAGCCTCCACCCCAAACACCGCTTTTCCTCCAACATTTATAATGGTGTTAAATATATAAACAAGTGTTTTTAATTTATAAGGGGGGTTGCACTCAGAAGCTTGCTATGTGAAAGGGATCACCAGTACAATAGTTTGAGAACCACTGGCTTAAGGGATGTGTCTGTAGCTAGAGAGGAACTGAGGGATGGATGCATGGTTTTTATACCCTTAATAGAATGCTGACACAAAGGGGAAGCGGGTGCAGTCTGAAAGAGCAGTGATTCACCACCATTTCCTATGGGTGGGGCAGTTATTTCTTGCAGTCTCTAATTTCTAAAAATAAAACCAAATCATAACTAAAACTTTTTTTTTAAAAACCTGATTTCAGGTAGGTGGATTAGAGGTTTGTTCATAATGGCTGATTGTTTCTTTAAGTAGTAGACTTGTGGCTTTAAATAATGGACTATTATACAATTTATGCCACAATCCATTTTGTATTTAACAAGACATCTATTCATTTCTAATGAATATCCCAAAACATTGATTTCCTCCTCCCATCCCTCTATCTCTCTCTCCCCAATTGTTGTTCACTCCTTTGGTCTGTGTATTTGGTATTCACTCACTAATACATTGTCTCCTGTAACATGCTCATCTTCTTTATTTAAATGTATTAGCTTATTGGGTCCTCCAGCATGAATGTATTTATGCTGGACCTGAAAACTGTATTCAGCTGTTCAACTCTGCACATCATTTATGGATACCAAACAAGAATATATCGGACCCGGCTCCTAAACGGCTTTCTTTTCCATAATCCAGAATATTACTTTAGTGCCATATATTCTGATAAATTATGAACCACTGTATCATATAATAGTGAATTCATTATACTTTCTTGTGGGACCTCATTTTGTGACCCCAAATAAATTAAAAAGGCAATACTATTAGAGGGGACTAGGAACCTTAGAACCAGCTGTGCCATACAGATTGTTCCTTGACCCAGCACAAATATTGTACTGGTGACTAAGCAATTTCTGCTGTGGGGTTTGTCATAGGGCATGCTTGACTTGACTGCTGCAGAACAGTCATGTGACACTCAGTCTAGCTTTGCTTTCCATTCTTAGAAAGGGACCTCTTCTGTGGTCAGATGAGCACTGTAAAAAGAGAAGTTTTCTGGCTATTGGTGCCAGTGACCTGACTGATGCTTTTTAGCAGCTTAGACCACAGTATTCAGGAGCACTAGTTGTAGGGGAGGAATCCTAGTCAATATGTATTCTAGAAACAATTAAAGGACAGTTGCTTTGTTATTTTTGTGTTCACACATTATGTATAGGGTGCCCACATTTTCAAAGTGGAAAAGCCAGGACCACAGTAGCAGGGAAGTAGGGCAGCACGGGATGGTTTTGGTGGGGTGTCAGGGCTAGAGAGGTGTGCACAAAAAGGCTTTGGAAACTGTGGTGGGGCGAATTTGTGCACCAAGGACAGGGGAAACGAAAAGGTGGCAATGACCAGGTATGGGGTGAGAGTAGTGCAATCCTTGAGGAACATGGCAGTTTCATTTGCTTAGCTGCCGGGTGGTACCTTTATGTTGCTACCACATGCAGGAATTAGGAAAACAGCATAAAATGCAGTGGCTTTTTTATGTATGTAGTAAATTGGAAACAAGGACAGACCCTGAAATCAAGTGCAACTATTTCCTGTTTTTCAGAGACAAGTAGCCAATTTGATCATATACCCTTCCAATAATAGCACCATAATGGCACAATTACCTTTATTCCCATCGCCCCAAACTGCACAGCGGGGGCTGGATGTTGACTTCATTTGATTCTTCATTTAAATAGGAATACGTTTGTCACCATGAATGTCTTAAACTTACATCATATGGACCTATGGTCTGTAGTATGCCAGACACAGCAAAGGACTCTTGTTTTGGTTAGTTAAAACTGACTCTAGATTCCCTACTCAGGGCTGGTCTACACTACAAAGTTAGGTTGTTCTAGGTATGTAGCTCAGGGAAGTGAAAAAATTCACCCCAGAGAAACTTAGTTAAGTTGCCCTAAGCCCCAGTATAGAGCTCACAAATTGACAGAAGAATTCTTCCATTGACCTAGCTACCGCCTCTCGGATATGAATTTACTACAGTGACAAAAGAACCCCTTCCATCTCCATAGTGTCTATACTACAGCAGCACCATTTCTAGTGTATAACAGTATTTTGAATGGGGATTATTTCCCCAATATGGATATTTGCGGAGTGTGGGCAGGTATCTCTTGCATTTTTCATGCGCTCTCTGACGTTTTCTCCACCATGCATACAATCAACTCTGAACCAGTCATGTTGAGTACAACCCTCACATCACACCCACACTTTCTTTCCACCAGATGATGAAGTCTTCTGCTATGTCTTTACGGCTGCATTACTGCAAACTGGCTTAGCAGAAACAAAGGAGCTGGAGACTAAGGGTACGTCTACACTACGAGATTAATTCGAATTTAGATAATTCGAATGTGGGAAACAGATTGTATAAATTCGATTGTGCGCGGCCACACTAAGCACATTAATTCGGTTTTTAACCACATTAATTCGGTGGTGTGCGGCCACACTACCCCATTAATTTTAACCACATTAATTCGGTGGTGTGCGGCCACACTACCCCTAATTCGAATTTACAAAATCGATTTTGGTGCTACTCCGCTCGTCGGGGTGGAGTACAGAAATCGATTTTAAGCACCCTTTAATTCGAAGTAACTGGCTCCGTTGTGTGGACGGGTTAAGGATTAATTCGGATTAACGCAGCTAAATCCGAATTAAAGTCGTAGTGTAGACCAAGTCTAAGGCTAGCTCCAGCTTACACCAGCTTACAGCGGCTCAGCTGTACCGATGCACCTGCGCCACTGTAAGATCTATGCTGATTGGAGAGAGCTGTCCAGTCGACATAATTACTCCACTCCCAACGAGCGGCAGTAGCTATATCAGTGGGAGAAGCGCTGCGCACACACTAGCACTTATGTCGCTCGGGGGTGGAATATTCACACCCCTGAGCAACATAAGTGGTAGTGTAGACAGCCTTAGAAAACACTGTGGATTTTAAAAAAAATGCATCCCCAACAGTACATCAAATATTGGGGACACAACAGGGCAGATGCATGCTTTCAAAGGCCTGTGTCTTATTTCTCCTGGCCCTTATTCTGGGAAGCCTTGCAGCTGTGATGCACATTAGCAAGGGTTGTTCAATTACCCCCACCTCACCCCCAAATTCTCATTTCTACCAAAAATGGTTTCCCCATCCCAAGAGCGTGAGAGAGGAGATGGGGATATGATCTCACAGTATTCAATATCCATTCCCACCTACAGCCCCCATCCCCCTCCCCCAAGCATCTCCTCCTGCCCCCTTCTGCGAGTATTCCCCCAGTGGCCCCCTTCTCTGCCCCAGCCTCTCCCCATCCCCTTCTCTGAGTATCTCCCATACAGCTTCCTCCCAGCACCTGCCCTCTAAAGCCTCCTCGTCTCGCCCCTCCCCCGCCGTCTCACCCCTCCCCCCTCAGAGTACCTCCCCCCCGCCTTCTCTCCTCTGCTCCTGCAGGCCCCTCCCTTCTCTCTCTCACTCACTCACTCACTCAGGGCCCAGAGGACCCCTCTCTCGCCTGGGGTTGCCCTCCGCAGCGCCTGCTCGGCGGCGGTCTCCTCCTCTCTTAACCCTCCGCCGCCGGGCTCCCCGCTTTACCCCCGGGGTGAGGTCGGTGTGTACCAGCTGAGGGCGAGGTGTTGCCCGAGGCGGGGACCGCGGCGGGGCAGGCGGTTGGTGGGGCGGCCCCGACTCGTTGGGGTCCTGCGCGGCGGCGGCGGGTGGGTCGACTAGTCGGTGTCTCCTTCACTTCGTCCTCCAGTTCGAGCGGCCGCAGCCAGCGCGGTCTCCTCACGGCGAGACCCTCCCGGCTCCCCTCGGACAGCCCCGCCGGCCAGGTGACGGGGCCCCGCCTCGGGGCTGGGGTCGCGGGGCGGGGGGCTGTGTGAGTGGGGTGAGGTGGGGGCAGCCCACGCCCCTCTGGTCCCTCCCCGGGATCGAGCCCTGTCCCGCTTTGCCCTGCAGGGGAGTGGGCCACTTTCCTGGGAGCCCGGGCTGGGGCCGCGGCTGGGTACATGGGGGCGGCTGCGATGCCCGCTCAGAGCAGGGTGACGAGAGAGCCGGGCGGGCCGGCCGGCCGGCGTCCTAAGATGGCCGCGTTCACCTTGCAGCCGCGGCGTGTCTGGCTGGGCCTTTGCGCGGGGAGCCCGTTCCGTGCCAGGGCCTTTCCTCCCCGGGCCGTAGCGGGGCGGCCCTGGCCCCCGGTCCATGCTTAGAGAGACATCACTCACTCACTCACCCTTGAATGTTGGTTTTCCCCCCTCTTTGTAGATTCATTAGATTGGCCTAGCTATGACTTATCCTCCACCATGTTCCCCTCCGCCTCCGAGACGTAAGTAGGGAAAGAGTATAATTGTTGTAAGATTAGTAGCTGTATAAGGTTGGAAGGGGTGGATGAATACTGAACCCAGAGGGCTAACATCAGCCCAGCATTCTCCTCCAAAAGGCATCCGTCCTCGACAGGTCCAACCTTTTAGAATAAAATCCAGGCTTCCTAAAGTTGGTGTCAAGACAGTTTTTATTTTCCTAAAAATGCGATCCACCTTCTGACGTTTTAAAATTTACATCAGTCCTCTAAGGATTCCTCAAGGTGTCTTTAATATGAGGGTGTGAAGGAGTTAGACAGAATACCTTGAGGGAAAGGTGTACTGTGGTAACACTGTACACTAATTGTATTTCTTTAGGGTAGGTTAATAGTATTTTCTTATCTGGTTGTTAAATCACCAATTATCTTCCTTCTTTGGTAAAGAGAAAAACGTAATTTGGCTTTCTTGGGAGCAACAATTGTGACCCCATGTTTCCAGGAATGCACAGGGAAAAAGGGATAGCTTGAAGCCACAGATAAGGGTGGAGCTGCCATTTGCATCAGTCACAATCCAGAACAAGATTGTTCAAATAGTTGATTTCTCTTCATAAATTTACAGTTTGTAAGTGTCTAGGATTTACAAGTATAATGTTTAAAATCTACCTGGTTAATATTAATTTTTAGTAAAAGAAACTGACAATTTGAGACTGGATTGAAAAAAACTGCTTCTGACTTCACTTGGGTTGGTTTTTTTGGTTAATTGGAATGGAGGGCAGTGAAATAAAGAGTTGATGACAGACAGGGCTTAGCATTATTCTTTCATTGAATGTAGCGCATTACAGTAGGGTGACCAGATGTCCCGATTTTATAGGGACAGTCCTGATATTTGGGGCTTTTTTTTTAATATGGGCTCCTATTACCCCTTGTCCCGATATTTTCACACTTGCTATCTGGTCACCCTACATTACAGGAAAGATCGTTATAAAAGCATCAAGGACACATGTTAACCATTGGTCCCTCACTTGATCTGTACTGACATAAGATTAAAAATTACAGGCCTGCAGGTTAGATTGCATTTTAAGACAAGGGCAATATTTATGGTGGTATTCATGCAGTTAGTCACCTTTTATTTGCAGATAGGACATGTAACAAATATTTAGCAACTTATATGTACCAACCCAAATGTTTGTTACTGTAATTGAATTAGCATAATTTTCATAGTATCTTTCTAATCTGCAATTTTATTATAAATTATTTGCTACCTCCTCTAATAACTTCCCATGGCATCTGCATTGTTTAGCATAAATCTGATGCCATAGTATGAGACTGTCCTTTTGAATTTAAATTGTACTACACAAAAACAAAAGGCTTATTTACTTTATCACTGCCAAAATGTTTTGATGCTGAACGTTACTATAAAAATGAAATCAGACATAGTTTTTTCTTGGGTGGTGGTGGTTTGGAAGAAAGCCCCAAAATATGTGGCTTAACACTTTCTAGCTTTATTTTAAAACGCTAACCATTAACAAGAACTGTTGTAAGTCTGGCTGCCCAGTAGGCAGTAGGATGGAAAATAGCAACATTTCCTTTATTGTTTATATAGCTCAATCAGAACAACAGCTGTTCATTTCTAAACAATTGAAACATTTTCTAACTTTCTTTAAGGTGGTAACTAGTCTGCTATGGCAGCTTTTTAAAACTATATTTAAATTGGGTATTATAATTTGTAACTTGTTAATCAAAGCAATTTCAAGTGAGCTGTTAAAACATTCTTCTGTATGTATATGATCTGCTGTTTAATCTATAAATATTAATCACTCTTTTTAAAAGGGCAGGTAGAAACTGCTTCATTGCAATGCCGAGGTTATTCCACTTTTTATTAAGGACATCTAACTATTTTTCAGAATAATGAGCTGGCCTAGAACACTTACCTAAGGGATAGCTGGACTATAGGTGAACCTACTAAAATGAGATTTAGTTACACAGGTACACTTGACATATGTACTAACACCATAGAAAGGTAATGTTAAGTCCCAAAACAAAGTAGTATTGTGACTGTTATTTGTTCCTGAATATTGAATTTTCTCTTTACAATAGCAATTTCTGGTACTTAAAAATTACAAAGAAACATTCTGAAAAAGTGTGAGTTCTTGAACCTTGCTTTGATCCCATGTGCTTTAAGGCTCGCAGAGATTTCCAAAAATCAACATTGTGGAATTCCCATTTCTTCTGCAGGACTTGATTTACCCCTTAATTTTTTTTAAAGTGTGAGCTGCCCTGTTCATCTCAATAGGATGTTAGTCTTTGAAATCTAATGAATGACAATTTAGTGCCCTACTCTACAAAACAAAATGGAGGCATTGAATGTTCTGGCATACAGATTAGTAAAAATGTAAATTCCTTTGTACTCTTGCCTCAATAAGGAGGCAGACAGGTGGCATATTGGAGGCAGCTGGGTGTTAGTTCCTCATTAGAGACACCGTGAACTTAAATATTACATTTGTCTAAAATTTTATCTATTAACTTGTAACACAAGATCACTATAACTGAAGGAGATTAGAGAACTTTTCTCTTTGTTTGGATACTTTGTGCTTTTGACAGCACTTCTTGTCTAGTCAGTTTCACTGTTTCCCCTTTGTAGTTTCCTTTTTTGTTTTTGGCGCTTTCGCATGGGAGATAGGGTTATACAAACACTTCACATGTGAAAATATGACAATGTGACTATAGATTTCAAATTGACAATGGCCCTTTTTAAGGTCCTGGTTCTTTTCCGGTTGAAGTCTATGGGAAAGCTCCCACTGAAGGAGATAACAGCCTTGCATTGTGATGAGTTGTTGAAAGGGCAGTGATAGATAATCCTGAAGACCAACATGAGGAGTTGGGTGGTGGTGGGTGTTTGAAAGGGGTGAGTAGTAACCACATTAGAGTGACAAGTGTTCTAGGCGCCCCTAATCTGCCTAAGACTCCCAGGCTGAAGGAAGTCTTGCCAAAACTTTATTGTGCTTCTTCACCTATTTGACCTCACCTCAGTCTGTCCTCCATTGGCTTATAAAGGCTTAAGCTTTCTTACATTCCCCAAGAAAAGCCTTTATTTGACTCTTTCACTTTTCTGATAGCTCTCATTGGTTTGGGGGATCTCCACTTAGATCCCATCAACCTAACTTCTGTTACAGAAGTTGCTTCAGAGCAACATGGTGTGTTCTTCTGTTCACATTCCCTCTGCACTGCTCCCAACTCTTGCCAGCATGAGGAAGCGAGAGGTTGGACTACAGAATAGACCCAGCTCTCCCTTTTATAGTAAGGGGATGCATTAACTAGAGTAACTAGATTGGTCATTAAATACTTTTTAAAATATTAAAATAACAGCGATCTACAAATGTCACTAAAAATTGTGATAGAAGTGACATGGTGTTGTTAGCTTTAAAATATTTGGCTTCTTCACTGCAGAGTGTGGGATGTGTAGAGTTTCTATAAAGTTTATCAGAACAGTTGTTGAATTTAATAACCTTATTAGTGTTTTTGAATCTCTCTCTCCTTGAGTTAGATATCTGGTATTAAAACACAGGGCCAAGTATAGATGCGAACTAGATACACAATCCTGCATGTTTCCTTTAAAAAAAAAAAAGGGGGAAAAATCCTGTGGGGTCTTAACAAAAATATCTCATGGGAATCCTGATGAGTTTAGAGAGTCTGTTGATTTCATCACAATTTCCTACAACTTTCCAGGGCCCCAGTTTGGAATGGCATCTTTCTCCTCTGAAAGCTTTTGCAATTTCTGAAATATGGAGCATTTTACATTTTTAACTAAACATTGGGAAATCCATATTGGGATCTACATGGGGAGGAACTTTGGTAAACCCATGCCACTTTGAAATAGTCAGTATTCATTCTATGAAAATCTGTAGGTGTATCATGTACTGCTTTAGTTTGAGCCATCTGTTGTTAATTTGTCCTGTATATGAGTTCTTGTTGGAAGACACACTGGGTTTAGAATTAAAGATAGTTTATCTTTATGATATGTTTCAATATTAATATACCTGTTATTTCTATCTTTCCAGCTCCAATGGCGATCCCTCCATCATATGCAGATCTTGGCAAATCTGCCAGAGATATCTTCAACAAAGGCTATGGTAGGAATAATACTTTAAGAAAAATGCAATATAAAGAAATGTCACTTTGCTGAAGCACATAAAGCTAATATTTTTAATTTGCACATGTTCTGGAATGTTAATCTGTGTGTGCCTGTATACACTGGGATAAACTAATGGATTTAATTAAATTGGAGGGAGTTCATACAAGGGCAGCAAAATGGTTAGAGAGCTTGTGGGACTGACTTGAAGAAAAATCAGATAGACACACACACACACACATTGGCTAATTAAAAGTTAATAGATGGGAAACAAATATGTAAATATCTGTTGTAAACAGCAAGGAAGGAATGGGTTTTATAGTAGTACTCTAGGGAGGAAGGTGTGGTCTTGTAGTTAAGACAGTTGACTAGCAATCAAGAACTGATGTTCAAGTCCCAGCTCGTATGGCCTGGTCTACACTTGAAAGTTATCCTGGAATAATTGTTGGTTAGGTATGGGACTTTAATTATATCTGTTTAAAAAAAACCCCACATTGTATTGATGAACCCCCTAGAGTGGACACAGTTGTTATGACGTAAAGGTGCCATATACCGGTCGTTGTTTCCTGTGCTGTATTGGAATAGCTATACCAGTACAAAGCACTTTTTGTACTTGTATAACTGCATTCACACTTGTGGGGTTGTTCTGCTTTAAGCAGGTATAGTTAAAGCAACATGACTTTCTGTTATTAAAATGCCTGTGTGACCTTGGGGATCACATTGTAGGTCAGAATCTTGCAATGAGTTCCTGCTAGGCAGACCCCTGGAATCTCATGGACTTCATTGGTGCTCTGCAGAGCACAGAAGTCTGCCAGAGTTTATTGCAGGATTGGGGCCATAATCTGTGTGTTTCAGTTCCCAATCTTCTGCTTATATCATCTTTCTCTCTTTCCTCACACTCTTATTTATTTAGACTGTAATCTCTTCAGGGCAGAGACTGTCTTTTACTGTGCATTTGGACAACATATAGCACTATGAGACTAGTCTTGGCTGGGGCTTCTAGGTGCTGCTGTAATATCAAATATAAAAACTTTGAGGTCTGTTAGACTGTAGCTTAGAAACCTGTTGCTTGGGACATGTAATTGGACTTGACTAGATAACTGTGATAGGAAGCAACCTTACAGTGGCAAAGAAGTAGAGGATATGACTGATTATTGTGTGTGTATGACTTCTGATTATTTTAAAGCTGAATAAATCAACTTGTGTGGTGTGGACTCTTGTATTGAGCATCCTTCAGGAGGCTTCATGGGAGTGACTGTGTAAATCTCATCCTGTCAATATAAGAATGACATTTCTGAAAAAAAAACCCATACATCTAATTATTTGCTTCGTATAATATAAAGTACATCTAATTGTCAGAAGGGTGACAATATAAAAATGGCACATTCTTAAATTTACTCCCTTTGTGTATTTGGAACTGTATTTCCTAGTTTATTTGAGTCCTAACCTTTGTTAGCTCTGTTGACTCAGCAGTGCTATAGAATGAACTGTATTCTATTCTGGTTCACACATCAGCATAACATCAAGCTAAATTCTGACTGGAGAATCTTTTACTGGTGGCAGCATAAAAGCCAGAAAGGGCACAGCTTGTCTTTGAGAGGCACAGTTGAATTTGTGGAGTAGACAGAAACAAACTTTCATTTAGTTAACTGAGAGAATATCCCCTAGTAGTCATTGGTGTACAATAAACAGGCCTTCGCTATTCCTTTTTTTCACTTTAAAGTTTGAGAGAACCCTACTCAATTCAACACTGACTACAGATGTTTCAGCGTTCATAGGATTTATACTGCTCTCGTCAATGGCTGAAGTATTTTTTTTTTTTAAAAATTTTGTTGCTTAAACAAATGCAAACACTTTAAAGTTATTACAGTGTACTTTTTATCATCTTAAGGTTTTGGGCTGGTGAAACTGGACGTGAAAACAAAGTCTGCAAGCGGGGTGGTGAGTTTTAAATTCACAGTATTTTTGGTTAATGTGCTCTAATTTTCCTGCTTATCAAAGGGAACTTTTATGGACAAAGTTAGCTAGTTGACTGAATCCTTTGATAAGTGTTTGCTGTACACTGCTGTACAGAGGGCCATAGAGATCTGCAGCTCCAAACATAAATCACATTGCCATGTATGCTGACACGCAGTAGTCAGAAGTAGTTGTTCTGTTGTCTTTGTAAAGTTGTTAAGCAGGGTTTATTTTGGCTGTCACTCATTTTGTGTGTAAAAATGAACGAATAGCAGAACCATTTTTTAAAGGTAAAATTGATATCAGACCATATAGAAATTTAATTTAGTTTTCTTTGAATATTCTTTGTTTCTGTTTGTGCTCAATGTAAATCTCTCAAGATCCTGGTAGTACTGCTGAAAAGGATCTGGGAGTTGTAGTGGATCGCAAATTGAGTCAACAATGAGATGCAGCTGTGAAAAAGGCTAATACCATTCTGGGGTGTATTAACAGCAGTATTGTATGTAAAATATAGGAAGTAACTGTCCTGCTCTATTTGTCATTGGTAAGGCATCAGTGGAATATTGTTTCCAGTTCTAGGGGCCACATTTTAAGAAAGATATGGACAAATTGGAGAGAGTCCAGAAGAGCAACAAAAATGATTAAAAGGTTAAGAGAACCTGACCTATGAGGAAAGGTTAAAAAAACTGGACATGTTAAGTCTTGAAAAAGGAAGGCTGGGGTGGGATCGGGGAGACCTGATAAATCTTCAAATATGTTAATGGCTGTTGTAAAGAGAATGGTGATCAATTGTTCTCCATGTTCACTGAAGGTAGGACAAGAAGTAATGGGCTTAATCTGCAGCAAGGGAGATTTAGGTTAGATATTAGGAAGGGTAGTTGAGCTCTAGAATAGGCTTCCAAGGGAGATTGTGGAATCTCCATCATTGGAGGTTTTGAAAAACACTTATCAGGGATAGTCTGTAATTACTTGGTCCTGCCACAGTGCAGGTGGCTGGACTTGATGACTTCTTGAGGTCCCTTCCAGCCCTACATTTCTATAAATCTGATTCCATACAATTGAACATTGAAACAACAGTTTCACCAGTCACTTCGACCCCTGACACTGACCAATGCTGGATTCTTGAGCAGGAGACACATTGTTCAGTATTTTACCCCGGGGGATATTTCTTTCTGAATCAGCAGAATAGTTTACAAACTGAAGAATGAAGGTTGATGGCCATTGTGGTGTCATACTAATTATATTTCATGAAAATGTCTAACCTTTTAAACATCTTACTAAAGCCTGGTCTACACCAAAAAGTTTTGCTGACATAGCTTTGTTGGTTAGGTGTGTGTGTGGGTGCATGGGGAAATCACACTCTTGATTAACATGGCTATGCTGGCAAAAGCCTTAGGATAGATAGCTGTATCGGCAGAAAAAGTCCTTTGGTACAGATTATTCCTTTTGGGGGAACAGGTTCAAGCTGTACCAGAAAAAGAAGCGCGCTCTCTCCCCCCCCCCCCCCCCCCCCAACTAGTGCTCTCCTGGTATAGATATATTGGCAAACCCTCTTAAGTGTAGATAAGGCATAAGCTATTTATCACTAATAGTCTTCAGCCTTTAGTTGCTGTCTTGATTTATGGAATCACAGCCTGCCTTAAATAGTAGGTATTCCTTAAAGAAAAAGGTGACCGCTACAGGCAAATGGGCTTCTGCGTAACTTGAATTCCAGTTTTTTCTTCCCTTGTTTACTAGGGACTGCTGCCATGTCTGGAATGCTGTGTTTTGCACAGACATCTAGTGGCTAAATAATATGCTGCAAGTAAACATCACTCAGTCAAAGTTAATTTTTCATATAAAGCTACCTACATTTAATAAATTAAGTTTGTTGTCTTAACTAAGGTAAATCTTTAGCAACAAATTCTGGCATTTATATACATCCTTTATCTACAGGAAATCTAGATATTCCTTCAGTGTATGGTGAGATTGATACAATACTCCTGAATTGTTTGGTTTAAATATAGTCTTCTCATAAAACGAATGCTCCCTCTAGTAGTAGTAGTAGTAAATGCATATAGTACCTTAAGGAGTGGATAGCTAATTCTAGTGGGCGTAGGGGGAAACAGGGCTTGTCTACATGGTGCATCAGTGCACATTAAAGGAGTGTGAATTCTAAAGCACACCAATGTGTTGCATATTAACTGGCCCAGATAGACCCTGCTGGCATGAAATAAAAGTTCCCTAATATGCTCAAGCAGGGTCTACCTGGGCCAGTTAGTGTGCAACATGTTGGTGTGCTTTTGAATTCACACCCATCTAGTGTGCACTGCTGCACCATATAGACAAACCCACAGCCAGACATATCTTGGGTCAAGATTTTGACTTAATTTTTTTTTTTTTAAATTAAAGACCATCAGAAATTTTTCCATACAATTAATAAAATGGAGTGGAAAGACTGTTTAACAAATATTCCCTGCAGCAGTTGCTAGCCAAACACTTCAGCATTGTGCCCATGTTTATTTTTAGATTTTCAAAATTTGGTAGATATTGACTAGCCTTTCCATTCTCCAAGAAGAGAGATGCAAAAAGGATAAGTAGCGAGAGGCAACTAGTGTTTATAACTTTCAGTTTTAATAACTAAGGTGCTGTTTGTAATATAAATAACTGCAATGTTTATTTTAAAATAACTTAGCGTAACAGTTACACATTGAGAGTCCTGAATCTAAAAAATATAATTCTGTGTAAGGAATGGAATTCTGTTAATAAACTTACTATCAGTTAATGTCACAGTCTCCCTATATAATTATATTTTTACTTGGGAGTCCTGACTCACTCGTGTGGCTATTAAAATCCTTAGTTAAGAACCAATGGACTAGTGCTGCCCTTTTGTCTAGAGACTTATGTTCAAATCATTTCTTGATTGTAACTGTAAAATTTCTTCTTCTAGTCCCTGAATATTTATTTATTTTTTAAAATGTATATGTAGAGCCATCTCACAATTGTAGCATGATAGTGTCTCTTTGGGCACTATTGATTGGAATAGCAATAGTATTATATGAGGATTGCAGCATGTTGGCAGAGTTGTCTGGGATGCTGTCTGCATTGTGCCTGGCTCTGATCAGTGATATTAGTCCCTTCAATAATATGAGCACCAAACTTCTCTGTACTTGTAATAAATTTTTTTCTGCTTTTTAAGGAAACAATGACTTGAAACAAATTGCTTCAGAAAGAAGGGTAAAGCATGAACTACACTGAATAGTATAGTTCAATTGCTTAGAGCACAATGGACTTCCTTGCTTGGAATTGAGTTTTACATTTCTGAACTGTCGTATCAGCGCACACACTGCCATTTCCTGGTTAAGTTTGAAAATCTGGAAGATCCTTTTTAGCAAATTGTTACAAAAGGGGGTGGGTATAATTCAAACTGGTTGAACAGGACAATGCTACCTTACAGTTGTTTACATGGTTTAGTTTTTTAAGTTTAAAAAAAAAAGATACCTTTTACCATGTGAGACTTTCTGGGATGTGTGCAACTCAGGAATAACCTATACTGTCTTATTAGGAATTCACAACAGCTGGTTCATCAAACACAGACACAGGGAAAGTGAATGGGAGCTTGGAGACCAAATACAAATGGGCTGAGTATGGTCTGACTTTCACAGAAAAATGGAACACAGATAACACTCTGGGAACAGAAATTGCGATTGAAGATCAGGTAACAGATTGACGTACTACTTGTATTTAATTTTTTCACTTAACCAGTAGATCTGAGCTAATAGCTTTTGTTCCCCTAATTAGATTGCCAAAGGTTTGAAGCTGACATTTGACACAACTTTCTCACCAAACACAGGGTAAGAGTTTTGTTTTTGTTAAGAGAACTTTTTGGCATGTTAAGGGGAATAACTTTGCATGTAAAGGTCAAATGAATATTTAATAGGTTAATATAACTTTGTGAATGAAGAGTATGTATATGGCTTGAATTTGGTGGCTCAAAACTACTGCTGTTAATCCAGGCTGTTACATTTGAATGTGGCTCCTTGGAGCACTGATGCAAAATTTCTTACTCCTTAACAAGATAGTTGGCACCCTAATGAGAGAATTGGATTTGTTAGAATAGTACTCAGGGCTCTGCTTGCACAAATATAAGAGAATACTTTATTGGGAGATTGGGGTGGGATAAGGAAGTAAAGAAGTTTCTTCATTCTTTAGTCTTCAAATGTATAATTCTTGTGTTTTCTGAAACTTTCTCATGGGCTGTTGCATTTTGGTTCCATGACTGGTCAGTTATGTCTTGCCCAGACTTGACACCTATTCTCTAATGGCCTTTGTGTGCCTACTGCAGGTTAAGTAGTAAAAATTAGACTGATAGTAGAGGATGAAGCCTTTTTAAAAAATAATTTCTTTGCTTCAGGAAGAAAAGTGGCAAAATTAAGTCCTCTTATAAACGTGAATGCGTAAATCTTGGTTGTGATGTTGACTTTGATTTTGCTGGACCTGCGATCCATGGCTCCGCTGTCGTTGGTTACGAGGGCTGGCTTGCTGGTTATCAGATGACATTTGATAGTGCCAAATCAAAGCTGACAAGGAATAACTTCTCTGTGGGTTACAAAACTGGAGACTTCCAACTGCACACTAACGTGTGAGTATTAAAATACTGTATTTGAGAAGCTTGTAGTAAGAGTATTCAGAAGCTTCAAATTCTGAATTAATAGCACTTGTTTGTGAAAGTGTCAAATATGCTCTGTGTGAGAGAATCTCGTACAGAATTAACCAGGGTAACACATGAGATTTTCTTTACCTGATCAGTAATTACTTCTATACCTCTTTTTTCTAAGTTTAGTGTTTATAGCTTGTTTTCTAACTACTTTGTTACATGAAGTAATTTCTGTAATATATACATTGTAGTTTGCAAAATATAGAAAGCAATACTGAAAGTGTTGTATTTACAAAGTAGACTGAAGTACTTGTCCCCTCCTTGCGATTGGGAAAACTGCATTACAATAATACAGTTGTTCCCTGTGATCTCTTACAGGAAATAGTTATTAGCAATTACAGTTGGCATGATATTGTTACAATAAATATGCTTTGCCAGTGCTTTTAATTCTTAGGCCCTTTCCTTTAGCCCTGAAAGGGAACTTTAACATAAGACGCACTTAAATTTATGAAATCTAACCATACATGGCAAAGCATATAGTTTTTGTGTTTTCTCACCTTCCTGCTGACTTCTCAGGCTGAATGATTGTGATAATGGTGCATTACTGGTGTCTCAGTGATGTTAACTTAAATCTGCATGGTGTTAAGGTAGGAAGCAACTTACTTATATTCACTGGAGTCAAATCACACACTTGCGCACCCCCCCTCTTTCTAAAAAAGGAGGAGAAGAGGGGGAATTTTAACCAGGATTGTTCAGACTTGCAGTGAACTGCTTTCAAAGTTTATTAAAAGATTTGAAAATGGTATTGCTTTTCTAGAATAAAATGTCCTTTGACCTTTTTCTTAACAGTAATACTATAATGCTACTTAGAAACGTTGTTTCCAGTAACCACAAGATTATTCTGAATATTTGCCTCTGATTTATAACTTGCATGTCTGTATCAAACATTTCATATTCCATTAGTTTCAGAACTAAACAGAGGTTTTTGCCATGAACTCAATGGAGCCAGGATTTTGGGGGGAGGGATAGCTCAGTGGTTTGAGCATTGTCCTGCTAAACCCATGGTTGTGAGTTCAATCCTTGAGGGGGCCATTTAGGGATCTGGAGCAAAAATCTGTCTGGGGATTGGTCCTGTTTTGAGCTGGGGGTTGGACTAGTTGACCTCCTGAGCTCCCTTCCAATCCTGATATTCTATGAAGGAGGAATTTACCTAGAGTATTTATGAGCTTAATTGTGCAAGTGAATATATTAGTATCACCCGTAGCAATATAATTATTGGAGTAAGCTTCTTTCATGGACTCTGCTAAAGTACCTCATTCTGCCTTGCAAACTACATTTATGTGCCCTCCTTTTTAATGTCTTATAATGGAAAAATAAATTAGTGTTATGTTTAAAATACAAAAAATATCCCCAGGTGAGTAAAACTTTAAAAGCTAAATATAAGTGTAGGACTTTATATTTTATACACATAAACCTGTAATTTAATTTCACTTGCAAATATCTTGCAGCAATGATGGGTCAGAATTTGGTGGCTCAATTTACCAGAAAGTGAGCGACAGTCTTGATACTGCTGTAAATCTAGCTTGGACAGCAGGCAGCAACAGCACTCGTTTTGGCATTGCAGCTAAATACCAGTTGGATTCCACTGCTTCCATCTCTGTAAGTATGGCTTTAAGCTTCCTCTTGCTCTGTGTAAATATACAACTGGATATCTTTTATAGTAGTATACATATTCTGTATTGATATGGAAGGGTCAAGAAGTATGCCAGTTACTCTTCTGTATCACTAATGTAAAGGTCTGTGATAGCCCAGATGTTAACAACTAAATCTTGTAAAGTATGTGACTTTAGTTACATACCACAAAGTAACTGTGATTTACTTTTTCTACAGAAAGTCTTCTTACTATGCCTATAGTAACACAATTCAGTGCCTTACACATTACATTAAATCACTCTAGAGAGGTAGTTCAGACACTTTTTCAGATTACTGCACTGGGTTCCCATGCTGAGAACTCTCCTGTAACAGTCAGCACCCTATTCACAATAGAGCTTGGCTTGCTCTAGTTTAACTTCAGTTTTGAAGTGGGTCGTGTCAGTGCAACAGATGTCATTGGGTCTAGAATAAGAGTCTTGCAAACCTGAACTTCTAGTGCTGGTGCACATACTATTGATTGAGAGCATTACAATGATGGTTAGTATAGAAATGTACCAGCCCAGTAAAACTAAATGGCCATTCCTTGATTTGAGTGAATCAATGAAATTCTGTTTCTTCAACGAATACTATTAGATGTTGTGGCTTGTTCTGATAGAGTTCATCTCGGAAGCATAAAAAAAAAAGGGTGAATTGGCTCTCTTCCTAGAAAGGTCCTAAACAAACATTTCATGTAACAGGGATTGTGTTGGAATGTGGTTTGAAAGGTAAATTTCTGCCTGCCCACTCAAACTATGTATTATTTTCCCTCTGGGATAAGAAGGGTATTTGCGTGTGTTTTTTTTGCGGGGGAGGGGAGTAGTGTATCCAGTAAATATAAAGATACTGCAAAATATAAACTGGCTTTAATTTTGTGATGTCTGTTCTTGTTGACACCTATTATAGTCACTACAGGATTATAAGAAAGAACTTTCTTTCATGGTTTTCTTTGAATTGCTGTTTCTTACTCAGTTTTTTATTTTGTTGCAGGCAAAAGTGAACAACTCTAGTTTAGTTGGAGTGGGTTACACCCAGACCCTGAGGCCAGGTAAATGTTTTATAAATGAATCACTTCGCTGCAATCATGCATTCCTAGGTATTATGCATGGAACTGCTGTTTGAAATATTATCTCTACACTCATATGCCAGTTAAAGTAGATGGCTTCTCTCTTCAGAATGACTATCTCTGCAGTCTTTCTCCCTTTCAATCTATATTGGAGGCTAATTCGTACTTGGACAGTTTCATATACCATAAACTAAAACTCCTACTGAGTTTGAGTTTTGCTTGGCTAAATCCAATGGCATTTCTGGAATATTTAGGGCTAAGTGTGTCCTCCATTTTGTTTTCCAGTAGGATGGATTTCAGATGTGTTCCTAACTTTCAATGCGGTGTTATGCTGCTATGACAACAAGCAAGCTCTAGTAATCTTAATTTAACCAAAACATTTTTGTTGGTAGTATCCTGGAAGGTCTAACCATCATTCATAGAAAATGTCCAGTTGTTATCTGGCTGGTATCCATTAATCAACTTCTTACAGCAGAGTGAAAGAACTATTTGGTTTTGTTTTTTGAAGACCTGATTCACATTAAAACTATTATGAAGATATTAAGCAAGTGCAGTAATTTACACATCCTTTGATCACCAGCTAACACAGTTTATCTGTGTTCAGTTAATACCTTGGTAACAATTTTCTCAGTGATTGTCCATTTGTGCTGTTTGTTTAAATCACTGGTTATAAAACATGATAGTGAATAACTAAATCATTAACACACCAGACTTATGTGAGGAAAAACCTGACCTGTTTTTGGTCTTGGGTTGAGCAGCTTCTGTCCAAATAGCATTAACACCATATACACGATGGGGCTGTCTTGTGGAGCGAACTCATTCAGCATAGTTTTGTTTCAGAAACGAAGCAACTTCTGGTTTAGAAAACCGTTAACTGCTAGTGTATTAAAATATATTGGGACTCATCTCTCTGACTAGGAAATAAGTCCTCTCTTAACTTTGCGATTGGCAAGAAGAGATAATGCCTCTCAAAATTTCGGTTGCATACCTTGGATGATTGCAGCTGCTGCTTTTGTGGGGGGGAGGATGAAATCCTAGGACAAGCACACCAGCAGAAGGAGGAAGATGGCTCTTTCTGTTCTTAAAAACTAAGGAAATTCCCAGACAAAAGTCTGTTCGTATCCATAACTTAAAGATAAAAATCCTTTCAGATTTTTTTTTTCTCCTTTTTCAGTTTGCAAAAACGCATAAGAAAATTTAGAGTTTGGAATTTCTCATTAGTTTTTAATCCTAACACTTCATGCGTGCAGTTAAAGGTAGCTGAGCTGCTCTTAGTCTGCTCCATATCTGAGAAACCCAGACTGCTTTATCCATCCATTTACAAACACTGTGTTATCAGACACTACTAAAAATAGAATGCTTTATTCTTAACTGCCTCCGGGTTGTGCCTTCTTTACTCAGCAAACTATTTTACTATATTCATACTGTTTTCCTAATCAGGAACTGGTAGTCACTCCTCCACTCCTTATTAAGGGCCTGATTCTGTCTAATATAGAGGGTTCCTTATAGCTCTATGTGCAAGTGCATGATCCAGGTGACAGATAGAGCATGTGTACAATGGAGACATCAAACCAATTATAAACCAGGGCTGTGTAGGGCACACTTACAAATGGAAAGCTTTATAAGTACATTGGCTGTTCATATTGCATGCACAGGCTGGAGGATCTTTTTCTAAATCTGTGATCCAAAACACCACTATGTCGTGGGGGGAGGGGAAGGAGTACACCAGGGAAGTTAGAATTGTTAAGTGGGGGGACAGAGTTGATATAACTTAGTATTTAGTTGTTCTGTATTTCCAAATATTTGGGTTTCTTGTAGATTTTTAACCTTACAGGTGACTTGCAATCAATTGAAAAAAAAGGGCTTTTTCCTGTGTGCTGCTTTCTGATGCATTAAGAAGGCCTGAAAAGTTTTTGGTTTCTGAGTTGCTTCAAAATGCTTTCTGGATCTCAGATTAGAGAGAGTTATAAATCCACCCTTTTATGTTAGCATTCCTTTGTTCTGATCAAGGTTTTGGGGCAGAGAGTGGAATCTAAATAACTTTCAGTATTTGGGATCTTCATTTGATTTTATTAGGGTAGTCAGAAGGGACTCAGTAGCTTACTGAATCTGGTGTCTTTCCCTACTGAGACTCTTGTGGGCTCAGACAAAAGAATACTTGACTTCTAGATTCTTTCTCTCTGTTAGGGGGATAGTTTTAGTCAATGCAAATGAAAATAAGACGGTCTCTTTCATTCTTCACTGTCTTCCTCCAAAGGTCTTATCTCTGATTTTACTGGTTGCTGATAGCTCTCTAAACAGCTAGGATTAAGGTAGCTTCATTCTCAAAATTGCACTTTTTTTCCCCCTCATGTTTATGGAAGTTGTTGTTTTGTTTGGGCAAAAATACATCTTGTGCAGTATCTCTAATCCTACCTCTAAGAGGGGGGGGAAAAGCCATCATCGCACTTTTCCCAAATGGCTATCTCATGTACATAGCATATTTTTCTGTGTGCGAGCTATAATGCGTGAAAGGGCTCATTTCCATATTAGTTTGAGTAAATAAATGATCTCATAAGTCCAATATATAAAATGTGATACTTATATAGAATTTGCATGGTTTTTTTAGTTCTGTGTGAAGCAGTTGCATTTTATGTGCCCCCAGATAGTCATTTGGTACCTACAATTGTTGTTCAGCTTAATTTTGTACAACTTTCTTTTAAAAGCTGAATGGAGTTGATGTACGTAAGTGGAAATTGCTTTAGAAACTTGCTTTACTATTACTACCTGGGAAAGTAATTACAATTTAACTTGGACTTGTGATGAAACAAAGAATTGCTGATTGACACAATAGTTAGCACTTTCAGATTACATGTTAACACAGGATTGTTTTAATCTTACAGGTGTGAAGCTTACACTCTCCGCCCTGGTAGATGGGAAGAGCATCAATTCTGGAGGTCATAAACTTGGTCTTGGTCTGGAGTTGGAAGCTTGAAACAGCCGAAGAAACTGCTGCAAGGAAGGGATATCAGAAGAATTTGGCCTTAAAAATGTATTTCCAGTGTGATCAGCAGGCTTTTTTTCCCAAGAGGGATGACCTAGAACAAGAGCTGTATTCAAAGTATTTTAGACAGTTACTTGTTAGCTGGTTTCTAGTTAAATTGGTTACCTATCTAGTTATCAATTCTGCATTAGTGCAGTCACTTATACATTATTTAAATGTATTTAACTGTTTAATGCGCTACCCACAAATAATGAAATAGACCTTTATGAAAACTGTACAATTGTGTGCATGTTTGTTTTTATGTTCCTTTTAACATTTTGATATTGCCATTGAATGAGAAATGGATCAGTGGATGTTTTGAAATGAGGTCAGCAATTTTGTTAAATCACCTTAATTAGAAATACCTTTGGTATCCCAAGACAACTCAAATTATGAATAAAACAAATACACACACATATTTGTGCCTCCAAATATTTTAAGAGTTTAGCTATTGATAGGGCTCAGTGAGCTTTAGTTTACTTATAAAATCATTGTAGTGCCACACACCTTAGTCATCAGTGATCGCGAGCTTCCGTTATGGGCCCAGTCCTTTTGACCCATGTTGAAGCAAGCAGGTTTCTGCTGAGGACGATTGGATGGGAACTCCTTTAGGAGCCAGTGAACCTCACCCCTTGATCTATTGCTGTGGTACGACAAGGCCCTCTTTCTGTATTCTCCAGTTCTCCTGTCCCTCCATGGACCAAGTGCATTTTGTCCAGTACTCTGTGCCTACTGGTCTGGAGAGTACAATACACTCACTGCACCGTCTGACTTGAAAAATGCCCCCTACATCTCCCACTAGTGTCTGGCTGCAGAGTGGAGGCCCACTCAGTACAATCAACTGGCCATGTGAGCAGGACTATGCTAAGCTTCTATTTAGAATGTGTGAAAGATACAGTGATTTACTTTAATCCTTAGAGTGAGAAATAGAAGATAAAGTTTGCATTTTTCTTTTGATGTTACAGTTCTTTGCAAGTATCAGTGATTAAATGTGGTAACTCCTGAAGTTGTTGCAGTAATGCAAGTGCTAAAAAGATTTCCTAGGTATTAGAATACAGCTCCAAGTGGAAGAGAACCTTTCTAGAAGGGATACTGGAAATGCATGTGCAGTGATCCTCCTAACATGGAGATGCAAAGACTGACTTTAAGGTCACAATTCTAGTTCTGAATTTGGGGACTTATAAATAAGGTAAAATATATATACATATATTTAGAAAATGCAGTCACATGCTGCTAAAGAGACATCTCCCGTTCAGGGGGGCTGTCTCAGGGAGATTCTTCCCCTGGCATACGTTTTATGTGCTTTGCACTATATAGCCACATTGGTGTACATCTGAATTTACACTACTAGATGGGAGGAACAGCCTGGAAGACAGCATCTGTTCTGGGGTACTAAAGAGCAATGTGGTAGATTTAAGCTATTTAAATATTTACTAGCATTTCCTACTAGTCACCATAGTCAATAGGGTGGCTTTTTTTTTTTTTTTTTTTTTTTTTTTTATGGCAAATTTACTCTTCTTGTGATAAGAGTATTTTACATTGAGTATTACCTGGTATGGAAGGGGAGATGATAAAACATCAGATTAGAGCTGAACTAAGGCATATAACTTGTTACTCTTCCCCTAATTACCTTGGTGACTTTAAGATGATACACGTAAGCCTTGTATTTTCATTAAACTGGTTTAAAGACTGACTTTTGCAGTAATTCTTTTAGCTATAGACCAGTGTACAGAGAGACCCTAAATGCCAAAATGAACCAAGCCCAAATCTCTCAGGCACTTCTCAAAAAGCTAGCTTGAATATCTGGGAAGTGAAGAGTTGCCCCCTCAGTGTGCATTGGGTTCCCTGCTCCACACATGGGCTTAGGGAAAACAGACTAAGCTCTTGGGAGTACAGTCCTCTGCTGGATAGTTTCGTATTCTTTTTTTTGTTTTAATATACAAAATCCACTGACACTCCAGGATAAATACTGCCCTCATGAATACCTGTGCAACTCATCATGGTGTCAATGGGATTTGTGCACATATATCTAGAGCAGGGATCGGCAACCTTTGGCACACGGCTCGCCAGGGTAGGCACCCTGGCGGGCCAGGCCAGTTTGTTTACCTGCCGCGTCCGCAGGTTCGGCCAATCGCGGCTCCCACTGGCTGCGGTTCGCCGCTCCAGGTCAATGGGGGCTGCGGGAAGCGGTGCAGGCCCATTGGCTTGGAGCAGCGAACTACTGCCAGTGGGAGCCGCGATTGGCTGAACCTGCAGACGTGGCAGGTAAACAAACCGGCCTGGCCCACCAGGGTGCTTACCCTCGTGAGCCGTGTGCCAAAGGTTGCGGATCTCTGATCTAGAGTGACCAGAGAGCATGTGTGAAAAATCAGGATGGGGGTGTGTGGTGGTAATAGGTACCTATATAAGAAAAAACCCTGAATATTGGGACTGTCCCTATAAAACTGGGACATCTGGTCACCCTACATATATCTATGGAACTTGCAGCATTTGGTCTCCACCTTCCAGAGCTGGAATGGAACCTGTTTGCACACCATACTCCAGTAAAGTAAGGATGTTCACACTGAAGGGTGAGATGGTAGGTCTTGCAGGGCCTAGAGTTAGTTTCACCTGAAACTATTAGCCATCAGTTACTTTAAAATTTTCAGAACGAGACACTCCTGGTTGGGGGGGGGGGGGCGGTGTTAGGGCACAGGCCTCATCTCTGCTTTTGTTGCTGAGAATTCTTCACACAAGGCAGCTGCTGCAGAGTGAGCCTTGTGCCCCCAATGTTCTGTTGGTGACCATGTACTGCTTATGGCAAATAGTAGCCTATCAGGTACAGTGGTGGACTTGAATCTATTCTAAAGTGATCTTATTTTTGTAGTAATGAAAGCTGAGCAAATTACTACAAAATCATGCATACAAATAGGTGTTTGATTCAGCATGCTCATTCACTTTTGCAGGCCTGGTTATTCACAGAACAAGTTGGGGAAATAAGCATTTTTGCTTGGGAACAAGGGCATGAATACAGACAAAGGTTCTTGCTCTCCTATTTCTAATTCTTGCCACCTAAAGAGGAAGTGGAAGCAATACAACCCACTGACGTGACCATCACATGTCACAAATATTGGGCCTCATCAAAGTGAATTAAGTCCCAATCAGACCATTGGCAGCCATGTGTTTATGCCACTTATCTGAAAAATTACAGATATCAAATTGGCAAAAACCAGAGTCTGGATTCCTGAACAGGAACAAGTGTTAAATGTGTTGGATAAAGCATTTACTACACATTATTTTACCAGCTGTAGTAAAATGGTTCTTGGTTTTGATACCTTTGTTCTTGGTTTTAATTTTGGCCTCACACCTGGGCTCAGAGTAAAATTTAAAAAAAAAAATCTAAAAATTGAGTTAACTGACTTCTTTTGCTGTATGACTAAGTTCCTGTGATTGCAGGGCAGTAGTTAAAGCTCAATCCTCAGCTGCCTGTGTGTCAAAGTCAAAACAAAAAGCAGTAAAAAGTTGGGAAGCTTTTGCTATTCTAAGCCTGTCCATATAGTTTTAGTTTCTCTGTCCGTAGACTGCTGGCTTTTTGCAATTTAATAGTGACCCTTGTGCACAGTTAAGCAACTGTTTACATGCTGTTGTCCTGTTTGAATTATTCCTAACTTTGTGGTCTTGCTTCTAAACACTAAATGTGCCAAACTGCAGGGAAATGGTTTTTTGAGAGGTGAGGGCATGGGGCGGGGCGGGGGGGGGGGGTTCCCATATGAGCCAGTGGAGAGAAGAGCTGCTGCTAGCTGTGTTTGCAGGCGCAGCGGCTGTGGATTTGTGGAAAATCGGGCTAGTGTCATACTTAGTGTGCATTTAATTTTTGTGCACTGTGGCATTCACCATTTCTGAGCAACCTGCTATGTTTGAAATGGACACAGGACTGCCTACATGCAACTCCTTTCATTCAGACATCTCTGAGCATTTTATGAATGCTGAGCCTCAAACAACCAGTGGGCTGGTAGACCTGGGAATGAAAGGACGACTTCAAATGTCCAGCTTGCTACTCTAACTACTAAAGAATGCTTCCTCCCCAAGAGTGTGCAGTCCATGGGTTAAAAATGTACCTGTTAGCAGCTGCAGTGGAACTGGTGAGTTGCACCTTCAAATATGATTTCAGGCTTGCTCAGCTTCCTTCCAGGACTAGCTGCTCAACAGAATGATTTTGGATTGAAAAGTAATAGCTAGGTTTTATGGTCTTGTCTGTATGACTATATCATGCTGAGCTAGAGATCTAGGATGTGCAGGGCTTCGGTCAATAGCCACTCAAGGAGCAGACACTGAAACTACTGGGAAGAGACTGCAGGTGTTTTACCTGCAGTCTCTTCCCAGTAGTTTCAGGGGTGGAACAGGAATGCTGCTTCCGCTCAGAATATGGCAGCGACCCTCATTGTTTTCTCCATTGATCTACGGACCATAAAGAAGCAAACTGAATTATACAGCTGCAATTTCATCTTGGACGGGGCGGGGGGCAGTTCTAGAAATATTGACGTAGGTCCTACTTCTGCAAAGCCTTACTGCATGTGCTGGGGGTGGCCCTACTGAAGTCAGTAAGCTAACAATGGCACTAGTCGACAGGGCATGAAGTTAGGCACGCGTGTGTGACTTTCTTGGCATGATCTGGGAATTGCACTTTGGAGAATTGCTGTCATCCTAAAAAGTGCCAAAGTGCTTTCTAGAGGCTAAAGCAATTACTGCACCTGCTGTTTAAGACACTGTCATACTACTTACCGCTGAAATGCAGCCACCTCTGTGCTGGAAAGGAACTGCACACAGTAATGCTGTACCCAACACATCAGGAGATGAAGAATACAAGCCAATTAAAACTATATAGAAAAATTTAGGTAGAATATAGTTATAAATTAGAATTTGGCTACACCTGTCCCCTTAGCTATTTGCCTTATGAAAAGTACAGAGGGATCTTTAAAGACCACAAGTGGTTAGGATTTGTCTCCCCATCAAACATTTGAGCGTCCCTGTTCTTTATGGGCCATATCTACCTATCCGTTTTTTTAAAA